AACTCACACAAAAATACTATTCCATACCATATTAATATATTCTTTCTCGAAAGAAACTAAACCCACAGCTGGACTCATTCCAAATTGTTGGACCTGAAGATATGCCGTTTTTGTCACAGTCTTCAAATCATTTTCGGCGCCTGTCGAGATTTTATCGAATGTCACATATTCCGCGACTCGACCACCTAATGTCATACACATGCGTTCGAAGAGTTGCTCTTTATTATAGAGCTTTTGATCAGATTCAGTATATTGCGTAAATCCCAGTTTTAAATTTGTTCGTGGCACTATCGTTACTTTGAGCAAGGCATCGGTATGTTCCATTAACCATCCTACTAATGCATGACCAGCCTCATGATAGGCGACGATGCGTTTCGTGGATGGTGTTAACGGATTATTTCTTTTTGTCAAACCACCAATCGTTCTGTCAATTGCGTATGTAAGATCATTATTGTCTACTTGTTTCTTCTTATCCCTCGCAGCATGTAGTGCGGCTTCGTTACAAACATTTGCTATGTCAGCACCTGAAACATTATTTATTCGTACAATTATTGAAATAATGTTTATATAAAGCTCTTTTTAAAATAAATAAATACAATACCACTGAAACCGGGTGTAAGAAAAGCTAGATATCTCGAATATTTCGAAGGTTTATCTTCTAGAGATATTTTTTTTAGATGAGTCTCGAAGATCTGCTGTCTTTCCTCCAACGTGGGAAGATCGATTAAAATGTGTCGATCAAATCTGCCAGGTCTCAATAATGCCTTGTCCAATACATCCGCCCTATTCGTTGAGGCCAATATAATGACATTTTCTTTTACTATCATCCCATCCATTTCGACTAAAAGTTGATTCAACGTTCGTTCAGATTCTCGGTCACCAACTCCGAGTGAACTTTCTGAACGTTTTTTGCCAATTGCGTCAATTTCATCGATGTATATAATACTTGGTGCTCTAAGGAATTAAAGCAAATATTAAAGTAATTATTAAAATAAACTTAAGAAAGAAACAGACAAACCTCTTTTTAGCCTCTTTAAACAAATCTCTGACTCGAGCAGCACCTAAACCACCGAATACCTCAATAAATTCTGAGCCATTCATAGATAAGAAAGGAACGCTCGCTTCAGTCGCCACAGCTTTAGCTAGTAATGTTTTACCACACCCAGGAGGTCCCAAAAGTAAAACGCCTGAAAATAGGATTATATTTTTAGAATTTAATTTTATGACATAAACTTAGAATGATGTTTATATAAATGTGTGTGTGTTTAGTGCACTTGCCTTGTGGTATTTTAGCGCCCAGTAATTTGTACCGTTCTGGTTTTTTCAGATAATCAACAAACTCCATCACTTCTATTTTAGCTTCCTTTAATCCAGCTACATCCCCAAAACGTACACCTTTACCCTTTCCCATCAACGGTTCGACTAAAGTAAATTTTGCCTGTTTCATTTGCGAAATAATTTCGAAAGGTTTAAAAGAGAAACGTTTTCTCACAAAATTAAAAGCGATGGCGGCTATCAACGCAATAAGTACAAGTCTTATAACACTCGCTATATATTCTATCTTCCTTTCGTAAATTACTTGTACTCCTCGGCCTAAAACATTTTATTAAAAGATTGTCATTCTAGTGCTTGATGTTTATTAATATTTTGCAAGTGATTTATTTACCCGCTTTTATGCCAAGATTTTTTTCCACCTTCCTAAGTTTCTCTTCAAAATTCTCAATACTTGGAACAGCCATATGATATCTCTTGTACAAGCTTCTCTTTCCTTTAATAATAGCACCATCGTGCACCACAATTATAACATGGTCAATAGTAGGATTTACAATAATCGCTTCGACTTCTCCTTTATTCAACATGTCGTATACAAATTCATTCCAGGAGACAGAAGCTGCAGGCTATGTAAACATTGTAATACTTCATACTTCTTAAATAATTCCTATGACAAATGTTTGTTGATAAAAAACTTACTTCTGAATTTGAATACATTTCTATGTGGTATTTCAATGCAATTAATGTAACGTATATAATCATAAGCCACATGGAGAGCTTAGTGATAACTGATTTCACATCTTCATTTTCATCAGGCTTCTTGTCTGAATTATCTACGCCTGATTTCTTAGGTGATTGTTTATTGGAATTACTACATGTAGTATTAAAATATCTGATACTATTAAATCTTGGAGAAAAGCTACATTTACTATTATACAACAATGTCGACTGTACAGTATGAAATTCTTTACGAATTTTCTTATAAGCCTAAAAACAAATCCAGCAAATTATTAACATACTAACATACATCTAGCAGTTTGCAATCAGATTCAAATAGAATATTACGACAGATTGGCAGTTGCACTTGCATTAAGAGCTTGTGTTCTGCTAGAGACTGCTGACATAAATCTTATAACAGATTATTAGTAGAAACTAGATAGAATCTATCATTTTGTAACCATTTTAATAAAATATATTATTTAAATTGTGAAATAGCAGACTGCTCGATATTTGCATTAAATTTGCCACCATATTCTATATTAATAAATTTCGCTACTTTTATTGGATTTTTTCTGACAACATTTATAGCAGATGCGTTGTAAAATCTGTTTCCAAACAAATTTAATTATATAGATGCATATTCTCATTAATGATTTTTTTCAAATATATCCATATTATAGCTATATAAAGATCGTTCAGGCTGATTATTATTACACTGGAATAGCCAAATCTGTCAAAAATAGATTTTGTAAGTATCTGCTACAAATTTTGTCAATAGAATGTCAGAGCAAAAATATAAAGAATCTAACATAATGTAATCAATTAACTACAGAAACTAAGCAAACTCTGCTCCCCCTCTTTCATTGCTATTTAAATGATTCCATTTTAATATATATACACACAAAATAATGAATCGATTCTATTTGACTTTTGTCAACAATCTGTTAATTGGAGGTCTGTTTTTTGTGGCTGAACTAATGTACACTTTTGCAACTTAAAGTTAGATATGTTTGAAAGTTAGATATGTGTCAAAAGAGAGGAACAGTTCTAATGCAGTCTAGTGCAGGAACAGAAAACAGATCATAGATTATATCACAAATTCTGCTGTGCTGATTAAACAAGAGTTTAAGAATGTTTTAGCTGTACAATATTAGCAAATATCAATCAAAAATTTTTGTTATAAATATGTCCTGAAACCAATTGTATAAAACAAAATGAATAATTTTCAACGCAATAATGTTCATTTAATTATAATATACAAATAATAATTTAATAATTTAACTTTTTATAGCACAATTACCATAGGGCTGTTCTTTTTCGCTAAAATCTTGTCAATCAATTCCTTGGAAAAAAAAGAGAAAAGATGAAATCTGTAAGATAAGAAAAAAAGAAGCTAAAAAGAACAGGCCTCAGTTTTAGGCAAATAACTTTGAAATGAATAGATTCACAAAAATGAACAAGAATATTTATATGAGTTTTAATAGCATATGTGAAAAATATAATTTAATTCCTAAAGCTACAACCTTATCAAATTTACAAATATGTAATACAAAATTTTATATAAGAATCAAGGTAAACAAAAAAATTAAATAACTTACATCAATGAAAGAATTGTACTTAAATTTTACACAGATATTCATACATAATAATAGAACATTTTATCAAATTTTTATATTTTTGGTAATTGAGATATGGTATCTTAAATTTAAATGCACATAATCTATTGCAATATCTGCTGCCAATCTGTTGACATATTGCAGGCAGTTTACTTATTGAAACAAATTAAAAATTAATTTATTAAATAAATAGAAATCGGAATAAAAGATCACAGAAACATGTTGATACTTACATGATAAGACATAGAAAGAAATAACCTATGAGCTTCATTATTGTGCGCGTAATTCAAGTGTTTGACGTTGTAAACCAGTTTTTCGTTGGGAAAATAAATTCTTTTGGATGGGAAATTAAATATTCGACTTGGCGCCATATAATATCGCTTCGAGTACTTGGTTAAATTCTGCATGATTCGAACTTGAAAGCACTTCAAACGCAAGAACCGACAAGGGTTACATTCCGTTCATGGTTCATGGTGGAAAAATAATCCATGGCACATACAAAAACGTAAAAGTGCCATGGAGTACATAGGAGCGTTAAGCGACGAGTGTCGAGTATTGTGAACTTTACTATTCGCTAAAAACAGGTCACGTGATTAAAGTTGACGAATAGAAATCTCACAATGCTCGATGCTGTCATGTAAAGGTATGTACATTCACATGCAAGCGTCAAGCAAGCAGTGGAAGCAGCGACCAATCAATGAGGGGATTTTTACAGTGGCGTAAAAAATAATTTTTTTACCACCACTACTCGTATCGTCCGGTCTGATTGGTCACCATTGGTCACTATTTTTAAAGTTTTAACTGTATCCACAATGCTGGAAATCGATTCGAAATCTCGGAGAGAGAAGTGACCAATTGCATTTAAACAATAATTCGATCTGTTCACCAATGTGATTGGTCATTTCTTTCTTTCTCTCTATCAATAAAAAAATGACTCATAAAATTGACGACATCAGATCGATGTCGTATTGAGAAGTTTTTTCAATAAAGCAAAAATATTATATTGATATCGTATCAATCTCGTATCGAGATTTTATGTATAAAAGGATATGTGCAATAATTATAATATTACAATTGAACAAACAATTGTAATAACAATTATTTATCATTTATTTAAGGCAACTCAAAAATAAATCGAAATTCAAACACATCGAATTTTTTACCCTTATCAGAGTCATTGAGCTAATTTTGACGTCCAAGACGTACCGTCGTATCGATATTAACTTTCTCACTGAATACAACTCAAAGTGCTAAAAACGAAAGCCTCACAACTAATTATCACCTCACACAAATTCACTGCTTTAAAAACAAATTCTCTGCTTCAAAACATAAATTCACTGCTTTAAGCACACAAATTCTTTGCATTAACATTTTGTGTTTTTAAAGCAGTGAAGTTGAGTTTTTAAAGCAGTGAATTTGTGTAATTAATGTAGAACTTATACATAGAGCTGTATCGAATCGAGATGATATCTTAACCTCTAAAGTCTCCAACTTCAACGCTTAATAACGGTCGGAGCCGACCGCCGCGTTTTTTTTTGCCAGATTCGTTCGTTTTGAGTGAAAACATGTCAAATAAGTGTATTTTTATTAAGATTTGAGGTGGAGAGTGAGGGAGGGGGGAGTTATTCTAAATAATTACCAAAAAAATTATGATTACAATTGTCACGTACCTACATTATACCATCGCCAATTAAACGTAGAATGGCGTCAGCCACCTATATTTTTAGGTTATTTGAGGTTTTGATATGTGAGAGGCTAAAGCTAAACGTGTATTGTTAAATTATATTGTGACATAATTGAATATTTTATACTCGACATGCACAGGTAATGTATTTCATGTAATTATAATTATATAGTTTAACATCCCGCAGTTCAAAAATTAATAAAATTAGGCGTTTCTTTTGCATGAAACGAAAGAATCTAGCAGAAATAAGCGTCGCTGTGCTCAGAGATCGCCCGAGATTTTCGAGAACAAAGATGTTATTCGTTAAAGTTGATGACTATTTAGATTAGGAAATCTGTTACATTGATGGCATAGAGGGACACAAGACATGTAAGTGAGGCTAGAATAAATATTTTCTGCTTTAATTACACAAGTTCTCTGCTTTAAAAGCATAAATTATTTTGTTATATAATTTTTATTTTTAAAGCAGAAAAGTATCTGAAACTGTGAGAAATGCCTAAAACGTATACATATGTGGCTATAAATGAAAATGTGATAACAGCGCATGCTCATATATTTCCTAACTCGAATAATCGTCAACTTTATCAATTAATATCTTGGTTTGTAGGACAGAATGACGTTCTGCCAGATTCTTTCACATCATGCAAAAATGCATCAAGTAAGCCTAATTTTAATTTTAATTTTTGAACTACAGGATGCAAAACCGTAAAAACATTTTATCTTATTTTCTAAAAACATTTTAGGCACGCGTTGATCCTGACCCAATTAACATTGCCTTGGAAATATGACTCTTCTAAATGGAATTGGTGGCGAATGTACAGAACACGAGCAAATCATAAAACCAAAGAATACGAAGGTCGCAAATTAGTAGGGTAATAAGAATAGATAGGAAAAAATTTTTTTAATAATCTTTTTATTTTAATTTATTATTTTTTTATTTTTATTATTTTATTTTATACTATATTAAATAATATTTAAAATAATATTTATATTTAAAGCAAACTATTTTATATTTTGACATATTAGACCTGTTTGTTTTAATTGATCTTGTTGCACAATTCATCTTTTCTCTTTTTTTTCTCACAATAGGCAAAAAAAGAGGAAAGATGATTGTGCAATAAGTTTAGCTAAAAGAAACAGATCTATTTAAGTAATTCATATGTATATTATCATATGTATATAAATTGTATATTTTTGTTATAGAATATATCCAAGTATTCAAATTTTTTTGTTCTTTAGCTTTTCAATGGAGAAAATGTACTACGTAGTTGCCGATGTGGGAAATTATAAAAATTTTTTACCCTTTTGCAAAAAATCTGAGATTACTTTGAAAACCAAAGACTTCTTGAAGGCCAATTTAGTAATTGGGTTCCCACCTATAAATGAAAATTATACTTCAACAGTGACTACAGTATATCCAAAGCTAGTTAAAGCCGAATGTAAGGATGGCAGATTGTTTCATCATTTAGATACCCTATGGCTGTTTAGTCCTGGACTGAAAAATAATTTCGAAACATGTGTGATCGACTTCTCCTTGTCTTTCGAATTTAAGTCCATCATTTATTCTCATTTGTCAAATTTATTTTTTAATGAAATTGTGAGACAAATGGAGAACGCTTTCATTGAAGAGGCTGTAAAAAGGTATGGCCAGCCATGTTTAAAAACAGTACGACTACCAAGATGACACAAGACATCTATATATAGAAATCATTGAATATAGATAGTATTTATTTTTTGGCTTAATGAAATTATCTATTGTTACCTAATTCTTTTTAGAATAAATGTATGTAACCTTAACAAGATTGTATGACAACAATAAGACAATAAAAAAGTTATAGGTTCTCTAAAGACTAAATCTAAAAAGAACAATTTAAAAAGGAACAAAAGCCAATAAGAGCCAACACAGAGCAGTAACGTGTAAATTATTTATTAACAAAATTTAAGTTATATATGTGAATTAACGCATTAGACGCATTTAAAAGTGTATCAACTATTATCAACTGCCTCAAGTCAAAATAGAAGTAGTCAGTGCACTGGAAAGAGTGCTAAGAAATCATCTAGAAATTAATCTAAAAAATTCTCAGCTAAAGTTAGATTTATTGAGTATTGCAAACGCGCCTTCATTTTGAAATGGAGCCATTTCAAATTTACGCATTTGTATATACATACTTTATTTAAGAAAAACAAAACCATATGTAAATAAATGTTTTTTAATTGTAATTAGTAATAGTAATAAAAAATTATTTATGACCAAAAAAATATGCTTAATTTATGTATTATTTAGGCTTCAAAATTTACTAAAAATCTATAGTGCACGTAACGTAAACTGTAGTAATTTCAGTGCTGGCAATAAATTTGGAACACAGCTTTCATAGAAATACTAGGATATTATAATATCTAATTATTTCCAGTGCTATCGTCATTATGCGCAATGTTTCACCCTTATATTCTTTCTACCATACCACCAATCATGTTTGAAACTTCCGCCATATTGACGCAACATTTCAGAAATCAATTGCGATACTTTATAAATTTAGTAACTTTACACTACGAATGCTTCAAAGCATTCGTAGTGTATTATTTTTTGATTCGTCAATTAGTGAAATTAATCGAAAAAAAAATGTCGCTACCTTTCTGCCTATGACTGTAGGTCTGTCTTTTTATTGCTGCACTCTCTGAACTGGTGCACATGGTGCAATAAGTTGAAACAAACATATATTTGCAGCAGTAAAAAAACAGACCTTAGGGACCGGTTTCACCAACGCCGATCAAGCTTGATCGTGGTTAATTGTCAATCGCAATTTATCGATTTCTATCCTATAATCAGTCAACAGACATAGTAGTGTGCACTTCAAAGGATTAATTCTGTCACTGGGGTTGTTGTTTACAAATTCGTGCACGTTCCTTGAAAAGAATGACAGTGGTAAGTTTGGACATCCGATGTAAGAAATTTATACATTAAGTTTAAGGTTATATGCTTTGATTTGTTTATGATGATTCCACAGTGAGTCTATAATCGGTAGTCCTAAATCTTATCGGTGAATCGATCAAGTTACTCAATTTTCTTAAGATTGACCAAAGTTTTACTCCTTCCTATTAATCGAGGTAAATGACCCGCTGTACATTTAACTACTTATAAATGCGAAAAGTCATAGTCACCTATTTAGATTAAGACTGTTTAAGATTTTCGACAACCGATCCATTGCAGAATCAGCTTTATATATAAAATATATAGATCTTTTTTTATCATACTGTTGTAGAAGTTTTAAAAATTGTAACAAAAAGAATAGATCATATATTG